ACACGCAAAATTACGCAGAAAACAAACACTTTGAGTGAGTAGAAATACTTTGATTGAATATAAAAAAATTTTTTTTGAATTGTATAAATTCACTTTTTACACATCCTACACGTATTTGTTAAATGTAAACAATGTTTGTAATTCCCAGGCCCTGAAGATGATCTCAATAAAGATCGAAACGTTGGCTCGTGCAAGAACGATGCAAAGAAAATGTTTTTGTGAAACCTACATCACACCAGACCGCATCTCACGATTTCTAAATAATCAGTATTTAATAAATTTCCTCTGAATACCTTCAAGTTCATTCATTTATTTATTTTTTGACTGCATGCTCCAGGGATAACAAACCAAGCACAGTAAAGAATAGTCTGAAATGATTTTCTTACAATAACACTATGGTATCCTAAGTATTCATTTTGAGAAAATCCAGATTTCTATTACTTGGGTAATTTGATGAGTAAATGGATATTCGGAATCAAAGGTTACTCCCAAGTTTCTAATTCCATATACCCTACTCATTTGCTATCGCACGAGATACAAGGATACAAGGGGGATACTACAAGCATTGATCTTTGTTTTTATAAAATGATATAAATTTAGTTTTTTTTCTCCAATAAATAGCAGGTTTACTATCTAGACACCAAGAGGCATACCTATTCAAATCTGAAATTCTACTAGGTTGTTTTACACGAAATATCCGTTTCCAAGGTGTAAGTTTTTTAGTGAAATTACTATATAAAAACAAAATCATTTTATTCGAAGTATAGTTTCATTTTCTCCACATTTTCCCCAACGAATGACGAACTTTTTTATGCCGGAACTGAAGAATTCTGAGCTTTGAAATGAAACAAAATCTGAAAACGCTTTGTGGACTTAAACATCATTTTCAAAAATTTTTCATTTGACGAAGTTGTCTATATTCGTAAAAAGGTGAAAATNATTTATTTATTTTTTGACTGCATGCTCCAGGGATAACAAACCAAGCACAGTAAAGAATAGTCTGAAATGATTTTCTTACAATAACACTATGGTATCCTAAGTATTCCTTTTGAGAAAATCCAGATTTCTATTACTTGGGTAATTTGATGAGTAAATGGATATTCGGAATCAAAGGTTACTCCCAAGTTTCTAATTCCATATACCCTACTCATTTGCTATCGCACGAGATACAAGGATACAAGGGGGATACTACAAGCATTGATCTTTGTTTTTATAAAATGATATAAATTTAGTTTTTTTTCTCCAATAAATAGCAGGTTTACTATCTAGACACCAAGAGGCATACCTATTCAAATCTGAAATTCTACTAGGTTGTTTTACACGAAATATCCGTTTCCAAGGTGTAAGTTTTTTAGTGAAATTACTATATAAAAACAAAATCATTTTATTCGAAGTATAGTTTCATTTTCTCCACATTTTCCCCAACGAATGACGAACTTTTTTATGCCGGAACTGAAGAATTCTGAGCTTTGAAATGAAACAAAATCTGAAAACGCTTTGTGGACTTAAACATCATTTTCAAAAATTTTTCATTTGACGAAGTTGTCTATATTCGTAAAAAGATGAAAATCTGTTGGAGAATAAGGTGGATGCTGAAGAACTTAGAGCAAAGCTCTTCCAATTTGTTTACAGTATGTTTTGAAACATGAGGCCAGACGTTGTCGTGGAGGAGTATAGGACCTTTCCGATTTACCAATGCTGGTTGTTTTTTGAGTAATTTTTTATGAATTTCGTTAATTCCCTTGCAGGACAATGCAGAGGTAATGGTCTCACCTCTAGACAAAAAGGAGTAGCGAAGAATTCCAGCCATGGAGCACCATACGATCACCATCAATTTTTTTTGGGTGTAAATTTCGTTTTGGAATGTGTCCTGGTCTTTCGTCGATGTTTAATCACTGCCATGACCGACGCTGATTGTCACATGCAATCCACTTTTCATCGGAAGTGATTATTCTTTTAAGACAAAGCTTAAACGCATGTCTTAAGGCGCTTTAACTCTTGTCGCTCAGTGAGCTCATGAGGGACCCATAGATCAAGCTTTTTGATATTCCTGTTTCTTTAATCGTCTTGACACGGTAGCCGCACCTGCATTTAGTTGTTATGCGAGGCCTTTGACTGTTTGATGGTGGTTTTCTTCCACCTGAAGCTTAATCATTGTCAATTAAAGTTGGAGGTCTTCCGCGGGGCTCGTATTCCAATTCGGTATTCCCTTCCGAAAACGTAGCAGACCATGGGCGAATGGTCCGGTCCGTTCATTTACACTCCCTTCCTCCAACGCCTTCCTCATGTTTCTTGCACCATTAGCTGCTGAATGACCGCCTTTCAACTCGTAAAGGAATATTACACGAAAATCTCGAGGTATATAAAGAAATTTGATTGGAAAGCTCGTCATTACAAACAAAAGTAGAGGATTAATAACTGGTTAATTATAATATGCAAACAATTGGAAATAAACAACAGAAAACCACTATATCCTCTCTAAATTTCTGAAACTATTAAATCGGACATTTCATGTGAAACAACCCAACATATTTCTCTCAAATATATATAATATGCCCATAGTACAAATTGCGCATAATTAAAATAAGACATTACTGATGAAGATTAAAAACATGAATGATTCAAAGTTAGATCCTTGGGGGATACCGGAGGCTGCACCGTTCATTTTCGACCATGTACCTCTAAAGTTTACCTCAAAATTTCTATCGATTAGTTAGGACCGAATCCCAGCCAAAAGACTGCCAGGAAACCCAAACTGTTCAACCTTATCCAGCCTTTTCTATACTCCTCTGACCCAATGCATACAGTAAACCGTATCAAAGGCTACCTACACATGTACACCGGGAGGGAAAACGTGGCCACCCTAGGTTTTTTTAGTAAATAATTGCAATTGCTATAATTTTTATTTTTTGATGTTTACTGGATAATTTTAAAGAAAAATATAAGATATAATTAAATAAAAAAGTAAACTGAGTAAAACAATTTTACCAAAAATGTTGCTATGGAAACATTGAAGAAAATATTTAACTCAGTACGGAGTATTTTCTTCTCTTGCGTTGATCACCGCTTGGATTTCGACGTGGCATCGATTTTATAAGGTTTTGTATGAAGTGCTGTGGAATATTTTCATATTCCTCCAACAGCGCCATTCATAATTCCTACAAATTTTCTGGCATCACTGGGCAACTTTTTACCCTCTGACAACTCTTCCCGAAGGTTTTCGACAGGGTTTAAATCGGGACTACAGGCTGGCCACTCCAAACATTGAACGGAAGCCCGTTCCAAGTAGTCACCAACAGACCTAGCGTTGTGGGGCAACAAAATAAAACCGTCGCCAAGTAGTGACATATAAGGAACAATTTCGTCTATTACCATAATAACTAGGTATAAAGATTAATAGTTTGCTTGAAACGTAAACACAATATTAATAATTTGTTGTTTACCTTTAAAGAGTAGTGCTAATCTTTTTACACACCAGAGAAGGTATTAGTCGACCTTGATGTACCGCCGCTGGACATGATCGTGTTGTTCTTGCACTACGGAACCATCATTTAACAGTTGATACAAAGTCAACTCCAAGCGGTCCGTAATGTAAGGGTTAGCTCGAAAAGTCATCAGAAGGATTCGTGAGAAGAGCCTAGTCTCTAGACATGAGGTTCTCTATGAATGGAGTAGCATCGAGTAGACAAGCGATTATTCGCAAAGCAGCATCACGTCCGGGCAGTTATGCAATAGAGGGCTGTTCTGTTCAAAATGAGTGTTGGTTTACTTGTAGTTTCATGTGCCATACGTGAGTCACAAGCCTTTTCAAAGACAGTTATTTATGGTATGGGGTTGAATCAACGACCATCATACAGAATGGATCTTTGACTGCGCTTAGGTACATTGGGGACGTTCTGGAAGCTGCGATCCCATTCGCTCCATTCATTGGGGACCCTACTGCGGCCTTGTAGCCTGCCACAAAAGAGGGTACATCTTAAAATGGATCCTGAATGAGTCCAAAACCTAGTGGAACAATACCCCAGATATGAGGCACGCGAAGCGATTCATAGAAGGACCATACTCCAAACTTACAAAAGAATTTCTGGAAGGCAACCGCAACCGGGCCAGGATTCTGATTGGACTTCTGATAGGGCACTGACACTTAAGAAGGCACATATACCGGATAGGAGTACAGACCGAAGAAACACTGTGCAGTTATTGCCAGGAAGAGGAGGACACCGCAGAACACATTTTATGTTTCTGTGAAGGTCTATGTAGGTGCAGGTTCTTGCAACTAAGATAAGAAAAACCACAAGCAAGATCCTACACCAAGGAGCCGCTGGCAAAGCTGTAGAGTCTGGTTAATAACCGAAGCTGGCCAGTGAGTTATAAATAACAGGGAAGCACAAGAGATCTATTCAGGTCGAGGTGCAGTAGGCCTTGCGGCCGCCTCTTTCATCCCTATCCCAATCCCTACAGTTTGAAAAAAAAGAAATTCGAGTGCCAGGTTCTTTGCCTTAAGTGTATTTGTTCAGTTATAAAACAATATTTTGTAAAATATTAATAAAATAATGCTCTTAAAAATATACCTCACGTTCACCTTTTATCGAGGGGTCACAATGAAATACCAATTATGACAATTAAAATTATTGTATACTCGTACAAACAAATTACTACACTGTTTAACTAGGTTCATTGTTCATTTAATTCGAAATCAATGTGACTACGAGTTTGCATAGATTGTGCATTATCCCCCGTATAAATATTTGCCTTTTACATGGAAAATCTCTCCGTCAAACGCTTACACATCAGCTTTTCGGCAAACACAGATGCCTGACTTCATCCGCCGTTCCAGTTTGTTGTGTCAAACTTGATTTGTCGTTCGCAACCCAGTATTATGTGAATTACATTACTTGATTTTTTTTTTAAAGAAAAATTTCCTCACGTCGACATAGAATAGACATAGAATTAATTGAGTGAATTGATTAGTCAATAACAGAAATTACAACAAAACTCACCATATCAACTTCAGATATCGGTCCCATACTTCTGACCATAATGTCAACTTCTACAATAGCAGCCGGTCCTGGAAAAAACAAACATATTTGCTTACGTAACTCTATTAAAAAAAAATTGCTTATTACTATAAAATATAATAAAAATAATTAATATATAAACAATTGTTTTATTAAATTCAAGAATAGACAAGAAACCATTTGGCACAATATCCTTTTATTGCAGCCTTTCTGAAGAATGGACAAAGGATCAAGAACCACTAACGCCAATCAGCCAGCCTGTGATATAATTGTTGGGGATTGTTAGGGTCCACATGGTCCATGTAATTAATATCTTTCAATTAATTAAGGTTTTTTGTTGAGATGCAAAAGTCAGTGTCACGAGCGGGATTCGAACCTACGACCTTCGGCTAGATACTCCGCTACTCTACCACTTGAGCTATCGTGACTACCACTCGGACACCAACTTCCCATCTCAACCCCTCCTTTTGAATTTTCCCTCCTTTTTTGCCATTTTTCAAATGTCGTGTAATCTATTTGATTCTCGGCGACAAATGAAATGGCCACGGAGAGCTTTAGTGAAAATATACTTCATTTTAACTTATTAAATTCACTAGTTATCGTGGTCCAACTAAAAACCTTAATTAATTTAAAGATATTAGTTGGTCAAGCGGACCACGAAAACTAGTGAAGTTATAATTAATATTTTTAATTAAATTAATTAATTTTTAAAAAGTTAGATAGTCCGCGGAAGCGGCCAGAGGCATTTTCTGCCAAAACTTAGAACGAAAACGCTTTCACGTGTTATTTGCCTCTTTTGCGAGCCTATTCCATTCATTTTCTTCCTTTTGGCGAAATTAAACTTAATTTTTTAGTTTCTTATATTAAACAGGCTTCCCACTGGCAAAAAAGGAAGAAACTTAGCTGAACTATGCTAGAAGGCCTGAATCCAGAATAAGTGAGTTTTTCCTAGAGGAAAAAGACAAATAGAGAGTCAGACGAACGACTTAAAGAGGTATTCGTAAATAAATGGAAGTAGCAACTAGTAAGTCAATAGAGATTCATTTCTCCATCTTGATAATTGTTGATTTAAAGAAACTTTGTAAAGCTGTTTCAACATTTGCCGAAGTAGTTAAGAGACTTTAATCCCGGCTACACAAGATTCTGCAATTAATTGAACTTCATTAACAGGAATTTAAAAGGCCTCAAACTAATTTATATATTTACGAAATGAAATTTAGTCGTTATAGATCAAAAATGAAAAAAATAACCCACATAACTATCACTGAAGATAGCGAAATGTCGAAAGCGTCTGACGGATCAACCCAGCGAGGAAAGGCGGACCAAATTTCAGGTTCCCCTACCTGAAAAACCGACAACATAATGAATTCTCACAAGAAACGAAGTTATTAAATTTCATGATAAGGCTTAAACTAAGATTGTCGCTAAAAGAAAGAGTAAATTTTCAATTTTTCATTAGAATTAGACAACAATCTGTTTATTAGTAGAATTCGCTTTCCTTTTATTTTCATTTTGTATTTCTAATCGTCTAACTAATGTATAATTAGTTTAGTTAATTACAAATAGCGTCAATTCACATAGAAAAATATGTGTATTTTTTATATTTATATGCCTTCATTTTAAAAAAAAGTGAGTGCCGCACTTAACGATGGTCACCTTGTATATATGATTCTGCACCCTGTGAGATTTTTCTTATTTTCATTCTGAAATTTTTTTCCGGCAGATGTCTCGTCTTTCTTCGTGTTTCGTCTGACCGAATCGATTTCCCTCAATAAATAGGAAGCAATTAAGGTCATGTATTTACACTCGTCTGAGATTTTCTTTCCTCAAGAGCATGTTGATTGCTTCCTGCACGAAGTCCCCCCTTTGCCCTTTGAAGCAATTAGACGAAAAGGCCGATTTTTAGCTCAGGAATCGAACGTTCTTATATTTAAATGTAGCCTAGAAAAAAGTCGAGTTTGTTCACAGTTGTTACTTGTAAAGCTCTGTAAGCCAAAAAATATGTCTTACAAACGATCTAATATAGTTATAGTAAATTTACTGATATTAGTTATAAAGTTTGTTCATACATAATTTTGTTTGATTCGATACGGTTGTCTCTTTTATGTATAATTTATAGATGGAAAAAGAAATAAAGCAACTTTTCAGGTTTAATTTTTAGAATTTTATTGTATTTATATCAGGTTTCAGTGTTTGAATGAGACAAAGATGAGTTAAATAGAAAATGTACTATGCTTTTAACTGGGGTACGAATGCGTCTTTAATAGCTTCTAATACTCAACTCCGACTTTCCACCTTTTCACGAAAATTTACGCGGGTGCCCCCTGGTAATCAAACAGACGGAAAGAGTGGTAAAGAGGACATGAGTTGAACCTGTCACCTCCCAAACCCTACACCCCACAATTCGACCCCAATCCCAATCCCACTCTCATATTCCATACTAAATCTAAGGTGTTATAAGACCCGTGCCGATGGATGGATGGTACAGGAGTAACTATACCAATAACGGAGGCTAAATGGTACCAGGTAACCTTCTCTCTTGAGTAACCAACCTTACACCGGAGAGACGGCTCACCGGTGCGGACCTTAAGATCCCTCATACTCGTGGAATCATATGGGTGAACCAAGGGAAAACAAAAAACATCAGGGAACTTGCAAAGAAGACCTCAAAAACCAACTTATGGAAATTGAAGAAGCTCCGAACCTCTCCAACTCACATAAAGAAAGAATTGGAGGACAATCTCCTCACGTTTCTGCAGACATGGTGGATCTTAAGGAAAAAATCAAACCAGAAGACGAAACTAGAGTCAAACCCTAGAACATATCAGGGTTCCAGAGGCATAAAATGGCCATCGAAAGAGCCAAACAAAACGGAGTGCCAATCTTTGAAAAAATCAGGAAGGTGAAGTAAAACCCCAAGGCTCATTTTCGGACTCCGACACCTAAGGCCGGCCACTGGAAGCTCTGAGCCCTAAAAACCGGGGCCAACGTTAATCAGAAGTGGTAAAAGGGACAGGTCACTGGGTAGCACCCCATCATCGAATGAAAGTGCTCCTAGGACAAAGTAAAATTGAGGGACGCAATTTGGAACAAGCCATCTCCCTCAACAAATTTGGTGAAAAGGGCAGTGAGACATATCAGGGATTTTTCCTTAAGATTTTCCTTCTTTAGGAGCAGGTTGATTGTTTCCTGCACGAATTCTTCTCTTTGCTGGTTGAAGCAATTAGACGAAAAGGCTGATTTTCCAACAGTAGGTTTTATATTTAAGTGCAATCTAGAAGAAAGACGAGTTTATTCTCAGTTGTTACTGGTAAAGGTCTGTAAGCCAAATAGGGATGCCTTACAAAAGTTTTTGTCAGCTAGATCAAATATAGTTATAGTAAACTAGCCAAGATTAATATAATGTTTGTGCATAACATAATTTTGTTTGATTCAATAAAAATCATACTTTCACTAATTTCGTGGTCCGCTTGACCAATTAATATTTTATATTATATATAATATATTACAATTAATTAAGGTTTTCAGTTGAGATAAAAAAGTCAATGGCACGAGCGGGATTCGAACCACGACCTTCGGCTCAGTACGTCGCTGCTCTAACCACTTGAACTATCGAAGTCAAGCTCAAGACTAAAAATTGGAAAAAAAAGACTAAATAATTGGAATAATTAATATGCTCAATTATGACCGCTAAGCAAATATGGATTATTATTATTAAATTAATTAAGGTTTTCAGTTGAGATAAAAAAGTCAATGGCACGAGCGGGATTCGAACCCACGATCTTCGGCTTGATACGCCGCTCCTCTGCCACTTGAGCTATCGTGACCTCGATCCACTCGGACACTAACTTCCCATCTCAACCTCACCTTTTGAATTTTCCCTCCTTTTTGCCATTTTTCAAATGTCGTGTAATCGGATTGGATTCTCGACGACAAATGAAATGGCCACGAAGAGCAAAAATTTTCAGGTTTGTTTTTTAGAATTTTATTGTATTTATTTCAGTGTTTGAATGAGACAAAGATGAGTTAAATAGAAAATGTACTATGCTTTCACCTACGTGGGACTATATTTTGTTGTGAACAGACGACAGCGGACACTTAGGCCGACAAGTTGTTATCAACCCCGAAACCGGCTGGGCGATAAATTTTCAGACTGCTGACCGAATTTCTGCCAAATTACTGCCGTCCATTACTGGTCAGAAGTCACCCTTGTATTAAGGGTTGGGGGCGTCCGGCGAAATAAATCTCCTCCAAAGAGCTGCGCGTACTCACATGTGATAAACTGGCCGCATTATTATAGACATCAATTCGTCGGTTGTTGAAAAAAATGCTCTGTTGGCTTTCTGAGATTTTTCAAAATGATTGAATAAATTTTTCTAAAGATACTGTCTTTTATAATAGATACAAATGGGCCACAACTATGAGATTATGTTGAGTAAGAAAAAATCGGCCGTCAGATAAACTATGTTATTCTGCTGATATTTCATTTAAAACATAAAGAATAAAATTAGGATTTCAACGGCAAAGATAACCCACTTGACTAAAATGGTATACACGTCATAACATGCTAATGCAGAGACAAAAACATCAGTTAGACATGACGAAAAATAAAAGACAGATACAAAGAACACATAAGGTCGATTAAGGTCAATGATAGATGAAGATGTAATATTCGGGGTGTAATATACTGCGCCCTTTAAGAGCTATTGTATCCCCCGTTCTCTGCCTATGCCGGTGAGTTCTATTTCATCTAGGAACTTGATTAATAAGCCCAGTTTCAACGGTGGAATCTATGGTCACATTGTACATACCAAAGCACTTCCTCCTGCGGGCAAGAGTAGCACCGAGTTTGTTAGTAGATGTGTTGGTGTCTCCTCTGCCTCTTTGCTTAATCTGCATGTGCCGTCTTGGATTATTCCAATCTTCTTTAAGTGTCCATTTAGTTTGCAGTGTCCTGTTAAGAATCATATTAGGATTCGCAGTTTATTCCTGCTTCCTTTGACACATTCTGTAGTTTCTTTTCTACCGAAATTTGTTAAGAGATTCTTGG